CTTTCCCAGAAACGTATGGGTGGAATCATGCTTCATCTCTGCCAATTAATGTGGACTGTCCATGGTCATCCCTGCCTGATTTCCAGCCAGCAGGGCTTCCTGTCCCCTCAAACCCTGCCCACCTTGACACATGTACATGTAAATTGTCATCAGACTTTTCACTATGAATGCTTTGTTTCTCTGAAAAGACTGAAAGTTCTTAAGATCAGGGGCCATCTCTTAGGCCTTTTTTTCTTCTTAAACCAACTATGGTCCCTGTCTTGATGCTGATACTCAATACTCATTTGCTGTATTGGACTGACTTTTACTATGCATAATCACTGGGACAGGGAGACCAGTTCTGGGAGAGGTTAAAGCTAAGTATACTCTGGGTAAATGTAAGCTGCAAAATCTAAGTGCTTAGGCAAGGAAAAACCAAGGAAGCATTTCTAAGAGGAATAATAAGGACTCAGTGTAAAGACCAAAACCTTGTGAGGCTCATATTGGTCCTCAGCAGAGAGGTGGATACTGAATGAACAAATAAGAAACTTGACTCAAAGGAAACTCAAATATCTTTCTCCTGATATCTTGACAATGATTTTTCTTAAAGGGTAAAAAGAATCATATGGCAGAAAATGTATACTACAAGTTAGCAGCATTGGTAAGATTACTAATACAACAGTAGCAATAATAATCTATTATAGTCCAGAGTAAATTATATGTATACATATAAATAATATATATGCACAAATTATACATGTAAACGTAATATTGAGGGTGGGGTTACACATTGCTAGAGATCTGACTTACTTGGGCTGACCAAAAGCTGGGTGCCAGTTCCAAATACAAGGCTCTGAAAGCCTGTGTTCACACTCTGACACAACTCTATACAAAATGGCACCATGGAGGCCAAGCTCGGTGGCTCAGCCTGTAATTCCAGCGCTTTGGGAGGCTGAGGTGAGTGGATTGCCTGAGTCCGTGGGTTTGAGACCTGCTTGGGCAACCTGGCAAGACCTCATCTCTACAATAAATCAAAATGAGCCGGGCGTGGTAGCGTGCGCTTGTAGTTCCAACTACTTGGAAGGCTAAGGCGGGAGGAAGGATCGCCAGAACCCAGCAGGTCGAGGCTGCGGTGGCCGGGAGCATGCCACTGCACTCCAGTCTGGGCAACAGAGTGAGACTCCAACTCAACAAAACAAACAAAACAAAACAAAACAAAACAAAACAAAATGGCACCATGTAACTGAGCCATAGCCTGGAATTGCTAGGTCACACACAAGTTAGTTACTAAGTGTGTTCCTATGTCTGCATGCATGTACTAAAGTGGAAGGAGGCCTACAGTTTTACTACTTAACCTTCATTTTCCTAAAACCATTGGGAGATGACAATGAATAAGGCGGACCTGACAGAAGATTCTGCTTTGTATACACTGGATTATAGAAAAATGTCAGTAATATCCAGTTTGAAAAAAGTTATTCACATCATTACAGAGTTTCAGTTCTAGACAGAACTTAGGGAAGTTTTATCCATTCAAAATTACTAAGTGTTTGTTACCTGTTTCTTGCAGGAATGATGCCCATGGATACTGTATAATGCAACATTCTTATTGCCAACTTTTCTCCTTATTTATTTATTCTTTTAGTTGGGGTCTCCCTCTGGTGCCCAGGCAAGAGAGCAGTGGCATGATCATGACTCACTGCAACCTTGACCTGGGCTCAGATGATCCTCCTTCCTCAGCCCCCTGAGTAGCTGGGGCTACAGGCCCATTCCACCATACCGGCTGATTTTTAAATGTTTTGTAGAGATGAGGTCTTGCTATGTTACCCTGGTCTTGAACTCCTGGGCTCAAGCAATCCTCCTGCTTCGGCCTCCTAAAGTGCCAGGATTATAGGCATGAACCACCGTACCCAACCTTTTCTCCTTATTTAACTAGCAGACATAATCATGCCTCACTTTCCCCAACACCCAAAGAAGAATAATAAAAAAAAAAATCAATGAAAACAGATATCCCTCAATTGTAATATAAATCAGGTTATTTCATGGAACTTACTTGTTTCAACAAAGAGTCTTGTTCCTGTCCCAAAGACAGTTTTGAAGCCTCCAGTGTTAGCCACAGCGATTTGTACTGTGACAAAATGGGCCATTTCCTTCTCTGCCCATGTTTACAACAGAGCTGGGGAGCAGGTCTAGGGAGCCCGTGGAAGGTGCTGGTAAAAAGGCGCACTTTTTAATCCTCCCCTAATAAAACTCATTTCTTTCTATTTATGGACATATCTTATACCTCCTACCTACCAGAAAGCTATTTCATTGAACAGTAGTCACAGGTATGGCCCCAGGACCAGGATCCCCAGGTTCTAGTACCAGCTCTAGTTCTCACTGATATTACGATAATTCAACAGACCTCTCTGGGTCTTAATATCCTTACTGGAAAAATAAAGAGGTATGAACTCGATGATTTCTAAGCTCTCTTGCAGAGCTAAAATTCTATGATTCAGTAATGTCCAAAGTGCCCTCATGCTGCATTTTAAAAAACTCACAAAGAAGTCAGGCACTTGGAGGGTTAGAAAACACTCAAGGTTTAATATAGCTACTGACTTATTCATATGAGAAAAAAGTCCCCCCATGGCCCAAATGGGATAAATTCAGGCACTTGCAGATCAGTTACACTGGTGACTGGTCTGCCTGGGGAAAATACAAGAAACAGTAAGGAAAAGGGACAGTCAGGACAAGGGAGTGTCTGCTGTCAGTTCCTCTCCATGCTCTATTGGGGTGCATACTTCTAGCAGTCCTATACTTCCTTGTTTCATCATTGAAAGGGGAAGATAATCTTTTGGACATTTGGGGTATCCACATCAAGATTTCCCGAGGCTCCATCTCTAACTTATTGCAATATCTAAGGTAGAAAAGATAAATTTCAAGTATTCCCCTTCTCACTGTGATTGGCATCATCTCTCATTCCAAAGTAAGTACTGGCAGAGGTTCTGTGACATCATGTAGTGGAAAGCTTTGAGATCAGGCAGGCAGACCCAGGTTTAAATTTAGTCCCTTCTACTCACTAGCCTTGGCACCTTGGGCACTTTCTTCTCCGGGCTTCAGTTTCTTCTTTTATAAAATAGGGATACTGCTGCCTACCTCAAAGTGTTGTCTGAGGATAAACAATGCTATGTGTCAGGTATCTAGCCCAGTATCCAAACATCACAGCTGCTGAGATGGCGGTTATTATTTCTATATTAAGTTAGATTATTGATCAACAGGGTTATTTCCTTAGGGTTATAGAATTTATTTACAGAATATCCAGAAGACTTCATACCCTTGAGCCCTATAAACTATAGGGTGGTACTGGGTGAGATCCCAGAACCATAGATTTTGAGTGCTTTGACTTCCTCATCTTACAGGAGGAGTCTGAAGTGCATGGAGGGTCAATGACCTGTTCAATGTCAGGTGGTCAAATGGGGCCAAATCAAATCTAGAACTCTGGACTGAAACCAGAAGCCCAGAATTTCTTTCTCTGCACGTCACCAACTTTTCTTGGACAAGGTTTTGTGTAAGGAAACACAATCTCTGGAGTGAATTGGGTATGGCTTATTTGGGACATGGATAAAATGACCTTGAATATTCTCCCCAAGTGCCCCTCTGAATCCATGGCAATGGAAGTAGAAAAGGACCTATTAGATCATGGCCATGCAATTTTCTGTTTTTCTAGCTTTTTTTCCTTCTATTGAGCTATCCATTTAGCTCAATTCTAGTGTTAAAAACTCTAATGTTGAACAAAGCTTCTATCAGCCTCATATCTTGGAAAAAGTCTTTAATAGTTAGCTAAATTATACCCCCTAAAGAAATACGCTCTTATAGTCTTAGAATATTTTCGTTAATTTGTCTGAATGTCATAATTCTTAATGCTTCAGTGCTAGATTAATTAAAAATAAGATATAATGACACAAATGACATCTCCTTTTCTCCTGTTGACTGTCACCGAATACATTTTGTAGTTATCACAGAATCTCATACTTACTGGGTTCCACTTTTAGCTGGGTGCCTGTCCCAAAGGTGAGTCTGTTTGTATCTCCCCATGAGTCCCACAGTGTCTGATACCTCACAACAAACTCCCTTCTGTCACTTCACCCCTTTTCTTGATTTACCCTGATGAGTTAGAAAACGCTCAAGATTTAATATAGCTATTGACTTATTCCTATGAGAAGAAAGTCCCTTCCAGGCCCGAATGGGATAAGTTCATAGACGGTTGGTACTAAGGGGTCAGAGAGGTAATCCAGACCCACTTCTGCATTTACAAATGAGGATACTGAGGCTTGGAGGCAAGAGATCTTCCCTAAGTTACATTGCTAGTTGGTAGCAGAGACTAAAGCATAAATCTATTTGATTCTCAATCTAGTGGTTCTCTCTCTCCACACATACTTGAAGGTACTGGGTCATTTCCTTTATTCTCTTTGTTCCCTTTGGACTGGAAAATTGATTTCTTTGGATGTTTAGTTTTACCTAAACAAGCATTTATCAAGTCCTTACTTTTGTAAGAGGACCATATTAGACACTTCGTGAGATATAAAAGAACCTCTGTTCTCAAGGACTTTTCTGTTTTAATAGGCAGATATTCTCAGTAATAAGAGATTTCTGTAGTTATATGTGTCACAGATTGTCTAAGATTCCATAGCTAAATTTGGGATACAGAGGGTTGGAGGAATGTGACGGGTGCCTGGGGAGAGGCCACGGTCTAGGCTTTAAACAGGAATCTAGGCTATTTCTGGAGAAACGACATCTGTCCTAATCATCTAGAGTATTAGTCTCTACCTCATTCTGACCTAGTGAATTAATTCTACTATTTTTCCAGTCCTTCAGTTAGCTATTTTCATTTTTAATTGAAGAGCCCATGAAGGTGCAATCTTAAATTAACACATCAAACTGATAAAATGAGGATGATGCAATCAATAAGTGAAAAACACAGCACATGTAGAAAAGCCTTAAACCAGATAAGGTGAAAACAAACATGGGATGGGGTCAACAGTTACCTGGAGAGACTAGAAGCATAGTCCCTTTTCCAAAAGTGAGTTTATTGTATCCTGAATTCACACAACAGCAAACCTCAATACAAAAATGCCCTGCAATGTTGGGCATTTCAACTTGTAATCTACTTAGGAAAGGGGAAAAAAAAAACCCAACCATCATTTTTGGAGAACCTATTATGTGCCAAGCAGGTTAACAATCTACACATATCACATTACCTCATTTGGGCCACAGTTGTGCCATGAGCTTAGATGTTATTATCCTCATTTTACAAATTAGCAACAGGTGATCTGAGGCTGAGCTGGTTGGTCTGGCACTGCTGACAAAGACACAAATATCCAGGATCCACAAGACATTTTGGCAAAGGACAGATACATTTTGAAGGAACTATGAGAGAAGAATACTCCTCTTTGTTCCTTCTAGAGTGGGATTACAGTTATATTAGGGTTAACTCTTTTGCTAAAACCAGACGTCAGAACTCTAGCAACAGTAATCCCCCCAAATTCCAGCTCATCTTCTATTATATAATCATTTCTCAAGACATGAAGTCATTTTACCTTCAATCTTTCTGCTACCCCTCGGTTACGTACCAGGCCTGACCAGCAGTCTGGTCCCACTCCCGAAAATCCATTTATAGCCTCCATCTTTCCCACAGTGTTTCTGAGTTAGCACAAAACCCCACAAATCCTTCTCATACTTAAGACCTAGAGATATGGCCATTTACCTACAAAAGAGGCTACATTTTAACTTCCTTTTTATATTCCATGTAACACACAGGCTATTTGACTCAAATTTGGGGTGTTTACTATGCAATACTTAAAATGAGGTCTCTACCTACCTACATCTCTGGATCAATAGTCATCAAACTCATGCTTTTCAATAGGCATAGCTAGCCCTTCTTTCCTTTCCATCACAGTTATCAATTTTTAGATTCCTGACATCATGTCACCCCTAATTTTCACTTCAATCAATCTGAAACTTCATGGAAGAGCATCCAGATCATGATGAGTGACAGCTCCCTGCTCCTCCAAGTCAACTTGTTTTACAAGCTCAGTGACTCAGTGGTAGCTTATTACTTAAGTCCTGTTCTGCCCCCAAAGCCAAGCATTCCTCTGATTAAAGGACAACCACTCTGCTTTAAGTTTGGTAAAAAATGCCACTTGTCTTCTCTTTACTTCTTATCCTTTGCAAATCTACTATTTTCTATTGGCCTCAAGGGCAATATCTTTAGCTTCTTTTTATTATTATTATTATTATTATTATTAAGAAGGAACACAAACTGTATGGAACAATACTATTAAAATGTTAAGGAATGAAGAGCACTCCTTATACAATGCCTTTATATAAATTTTTGGAAAACAGAAAAGAGAGGGTCCATTACATCCCATTATGTACTCTAAATGTCACAATCTGAGAGAAAGCAACACAAGGAAGAGGAAGTATTCAAAAACCTGGACTCACTTGGAATGACTTGAAGCTTTGTTCCAGTTCCAAAGGTAACTTTCTGGGAACCCCCAGAATTCACACTGTGATGCAGGCCTTTACAAAGTGGCTTCCTTTCCCCTGCCATTTTCACATGGGGAACACTCAAGCCACTATACTTCAGTAAAGAAAGAGTGCTTTTTATCAACGTCCATGGCTACAAATGAAAATAGCTATTTTACTAAGACCCAAATGAAAATAGCTATTTTACTAAGAACCCACATATCCCCCTCATCTTGAAAGAATTGTACTATCTGACCTAGCCCTTTTTGTTTTATAAACAAATAATAATATTTTACAGGGGTATAGCATTTAAGAATTTACAAAATAATTTCACACACATTAGCATATTTTATCTTTAAAATAACTTATGAGGTAATATTAATGTTTTCGTGGCCCAGATGCACTCATCAAGCCAGGTTTAGAACTCGAAGCACTCAGTCAGATTTTCTGCCTTTTTCTTTAGGATGGGCTCTTTGGGCTGTTTCGGTCTGTTATTTTTTGGTTCATCTACATGACTTTTTTCTCCACAGTCAGCTCTTCTATCCTCTGTGCCATTACTTTAACATTTCTTTCTACATCGGAATGCACTTTAGTCTGCATAAACCATTAATTTCTTGACACTTGGGCCTTGCAAATACTGCAGTAAGTTCAGTGGGCCTCAATATCCACATTAAGCCTCCAACTTTAGTGACATATTGCCTACTTACCAGGTTTTACAGATAATCTTGTCCCACTCCCAAAGATGAATGTGTTATAAATCACAGTACTGTGCTGCCTGACAAAAGTGCCCTAGCTACCTTGATAATAGATTAATGTGATTAGCATGCAGCTATCTTCCCTCCTGGGAGTTCTGACTGGGATTCCTCCTTTTTGATACTGGAATAAAGACTAAGCCATGGAATTAAGACCACGAAAGCCTCTTTTCAGGGCACAATAGCAGTGGTACAATAGATGCAGCAGAAAGCTTGAGAAGAGTCCAAGTGATATTCTCTAGGCAACTCTGAAACTTATTTCTTTCAAAAAGATTTGCATAATTTCACCAAGTAATCTTATTTTACAAGCCAAAGGATATCAGCTCTGATCCCCATTTTCACCTAGGAATCAACACCTGTACATAATCTCATTTTACAAGTGTTTAGCAAACCGCTCATATCCCTGCAGGCAATCTTTCTTTCTTCTATCACTTTATTAAAAAATATTTTTTATAATGTTCATTATCATGGGAATGAGTCACCTGAAGCCCAGTCCCTGCTACTACACAATATGTCCATGTAACAAACATGCACTTGTTCCCCTGAATCAAAAATAAAATACAATTATATTAAAAACAAACAAACAAGATTTTTGTGAGCATGGAGTGGGGCATGGAGTATTAGCTAAAAGTGGGGGACAGTATTCAATTTTTCATTTTGTCTTAATGGCTTTCCTTACCAAATCCCAATTTTCTTAACTTAAAGAATAAGGAGACATTTAGTTACCTGTGCAATATAAGACTATCAGATAAGTACAAGCATTATGATCACCGGGTACGGTGGCTCATGCCTGTAATCCCAGCACTTTGGGAGGCAGAGGCAAGAGGATTGCCCGAATCCAGGGATTTGAGACCCGCCTGGGCAACTTGGTGAGACTTCATCTCTATAATAAATTAAAAAAAAATTAACTGAGCGTGGTGGTGCATGCCTTTACTTCCAGCTACTTGGAAGACTGAGGTGGAAGGATCACTTGAGACCAGCAGGTTGAGGCTGCGGTGGCTATCAGCATGCCACTGCATTCCATCCTGGGTGACAGAATGAGACTCCGACTCAAAAAATAATAATAATAATTATTATTACCAGGTACTTACTGGAACTTATTGATACGGTGGTTCCCTTCCCAAAGACCAATGTACTTCTTGCCTGGTAGGCACAGTGAAACGAGGCCCTGCAAATACCTCATGTACCTGCTCATTCAAACCCACCTTGTATAAAGCTATAAACAATGGAAACTCATATTGTGTCCTTGTCTTTGGCAAGGATCTTTGTGCATTTTCAGTATCTGGGCGTGCTGTAACAAAGCTCTGTAATTTTGTGAAGAGGAGGGGCAGTTGGTGGTAGGTCTTTTATTCACTCACTAACTAATTGCTGGGTTCTTTTCATGTGGAAAGTGTTGCACTGAGCACTGAGGATACAGTGAGAGCCACTCAGACACTGTCCTGAGCTCATGGTGCAATCTAGGAGGAGGCAAACAATAAACAAATACACGGATAGTAGAATGTCAAGTAATGAAATCATGTGAGTTAAAATAAGGCGGAGTAACAGGATAGACAGCAACCAGGCAGCAGCTGTGTTTGATGGCTTGTTAGATTGGCTGGGCAGGAAAGGACTTTTTGAGGTGATATCCACAGTGAAGTCTAGGCCTGAAGAAGTTAATCATCATACCCATTTAGAGATAAACAAACTGAGAGGCTGAAAGAACAAAGGCTGGCTCTCAATGACACAGAATGTCCACATGACACTTAGGTCATGCCTTCTCCCTGCTGAAATACTAGATGTAAACGGAATCATGTAAATTCCTGGTTAGAAAAGATAAAGTAAGAAATTCTTCCAGAGTGACTTTGGGATGTTATCTGGGCAACTGGAAGCTGTGGCACTGGCCATCTATGGCATCAAGGTTACTAGGGGAAGCCAGCTGCAAGGGAAGGTGTTGGCATCTCAGAGTGGATTTCTCTGATGGAAATGGCCCCTGAGTTAAGATGTTTTCTATACTGCTTCCTTATTAAGCTCGCAAAGAATGCAAACTGTTACCTGGAGGAAGTTAGGGTAGGAAGGCATGGAGAGCACTCGTCTCTCCATGAAATCTGGATAAATCAAGGACATTGGCAGGCCACGCTGATTTCCAATAAAGCTTGCTACTTGTCTCAATAACTAATCAATTTCAGAATTCATAGCAATACTTACTGAGATCCACCTTTAGCATAGTCCCTCTTCCAAAGACCAAATTCTGGGCACCTGAAACCCCACAGTGATCTATTTCATCACAAAAACCAAAGGTGCTTCATTTTCAAGTACAGGAATCCTCCCAGGACTTTTTTGCCTGGTTGAAACCTAATTCAACACTAAGCACATATTTAGGTAAACTTTAGAAAAACCTTTTGCTTACAAACTCCTTGGAATGGTAGGAAGCCTCAGAAACCATTTACTGCACGTTCTCAACCTCACACATTTCTCTCTGGAGTGACCTTAGGCTTTTGAAAATCTCCAGGGAAGGTCTTGGTCACAAACTCTGTTCTTTTTTCTTGCAATTATATCCAGATTCAACCTTTTCTCTGTGATAGCCAAAGCCCATTAAACTTGTTCACCTTTAAGTTTATCCTCAAATGAAGTTTTTCATAAAATCAAACTTTTAAAAATCATGAATCATCCGACCACCCATACTTTTCAAAGATATTTCACATATCTTATCTGAGTCTCATAGACTCCCTTGAGGTAGTCAGGGTTGGAACCACAATCTCCATATTATAGACAAACTGGGGCTTAGAGCATGTGAGTGATCTTCTCATGGTTACACAGTTAGTGAGTAGTTGAGC